TGTGGGAAGGGGGTTGGTTGTGGGGGGGGGGGGGGGGTGGGGTGTCTTTTGGGGGGGAGGAATTATTTGTTGTTGTTTGGGATTTTTTTTGTTTGGTTTGGTTTAGGTTTTTTGATTTTGAGGGGTTTTGGGGGCAAGATGGGTTTTGATTTTGAGGGGGGGTGGTTGTTTGGTTTTGGTTGGGGGGGGGTTGGGTTTTTTTGTTTTTTTTTTATTTGTTTGTTTGTGTTTTAAAAAACCTCTAAAACATTCCAAGCTCACCCAAATCCACCATTTCACCAAATTCCCTCCCCACCTTTTTTCACCTCCTTCCAACAGCAAGAAAATCTGTTCATTGAAATTAATTCACTCAAGTGAGTAGCTTATGGACCTGCCTCGCTTATAGGCAAAATATGGCTTTTGAAAGAACTCATATATGTTGGTGATAGAGTCAGATATAGGGATTTACCAAAAGAAACTGTGCTCGGTTCTCCATCTGCTGGCAAGGGGACTGGGATGAAGCTCCTGTTTATGGGGTCTTTTATTATGGATATGCTTTTTGCTTCCAGAGGATGTAATTGTCGGGTCTGCTGCACAGCCAGTTCTTCTTGGTGTGGCACAGGGATGAGCTGATCCTCTCGTGGTTCAGGTATGCACAGGGCCCACCACCCCGCACCTCAAACCTGCAATGCCGACACACTCAGGTGAGCGAGAAAAGGAGGAAACGAGGAAAGCAACCCCCAAAAAATTAAGAAAAACTGGGATTTCCTCACTAGGAGAGAAGGGTAGCGTTTGGCTGAGGGTGTCTAATAGGGGATTGGTGTGCAGCATCCTTGGTCCATCCCAAACCTCCCACGGAAAGCCAGGAGCTGCTTGGGCACGGTGGCAGGAGAAGGTCCCCATCCCAGGATGGGTCATCCCAGACCCTCTAAGATATTCCATCCAAGCAGGGGGAAGCAATACAGCAGCTCCCTGGGGCCATTTCCAACCACACCAAGAGGCAAACCTGCCCCAGTTGCCAACCCCAAGCGCCCAACAGGGACAGAGGGACCAACCAGTTGTTGAAGGCTGTGCCGTTGGTCCACCACCAGCTGTCATCCTTCTCCTTTCGCAGCCCAAACCAATGGTTAGCTTCGCCTTTATAGCGTTTAATGAAGGTCTTTAAAGCAAAGAAATGTCATGTTTTAGCTGGTCTTGTCTTCCTCACCTCCTCTTTTCCACCTGTGTCCATCACCCCACCCAGAGATGGTGCTTTCCCCAAGACATCCACTCCCGGCTACAGCATTGGGTGCAATTTGGGGCCAAGCACGTTTTTGGTCTGGTTTTTTTTCTTCTTTTTTTTGGGGGGATGGGGGGCATGTCTCTTTTGGTGGTTTTTTTCATGTTTCCTACCCTGGTACTAGTGTAGGGGCTCAAGCACAGTTCTCACCAGCTCATCCATTGTGTTTATGAGGGCCAGTGAAGCTCCCAGGGCCTCGCAGCTTTCCTGACTGGTGGTCCAATTGCTCTCAGCCTCAGAAAAATAATAGCATTTCCCTTGGAAACCAAGCCAGGCGTCTGGGCACACGTGGGAGAAGTCAGGCTGAGGCAAACGGGATCCTGAATGGACAACTGCAAAAGAAAAAACTGAGAGATGTGTGTGGGCAGTCCTAAAAAGCAGGAAAATGGGATTTATTATTTTTTTCCTCAAGGCTACAGGCGGGAAATTGGGGTTGATGCCCTTGGAAAAGGGAATCACGTGGCTGACCAAGAGCCAGGATGCCTGGACCACAATTTAGGAATAAAAAAAAGGGGTCCCCCCTGAAGCAGGCTTGGTGCTTTGCTTGGGGAGCATCCCTTGATGCTAGGAAAGTCCTGCGATCCCTTCTTCCCCAAAAGAGGGGTGCCTGGCCTGGATCGTCCCCATGCGGGATGCCTGGATGGGACTCACCAGTCAAGGCCACCAGCAGGACGAAGACGAGGAGCACCAGCACCACACACAGAGGGACGAAAACCCGAGACGAGCGGGATCTTTCCCGGTCGGGCTTCTTGGTGTTGGACCCTGGGGGAGGAAAGAGCAGGAGAGGGTGTGGGCTGGGTCCTTTCCCTAATCCTGTGCTCTTTTTCTGCTGGATCCTCAGTCCACCCCGAGCCCCAGCTGGGACAGGGACCTTGTTGGGGCTCAGGAGGGTGGGGAGACCTTGCAGAGGCTCAAGGGGCTGCCCACAAGGCAGGGAGAGCGGACCTGTGTCCTTCAAAGGCACCAATGTGTGTTTGAGGACCTGGAGATGGATTTAGGGCTTTTCAGCCCTTAGAGGTGGCTGCAACATGAAATTTAGCGTAGAGGTGCCTGGGTTGATCTGCACCTGCCCAAAAGCTCCATGCCCACCCCACTGGTGCTCCACCAGAGCGAGATGCTCTTCCCACCCCCTGCCCTCACCCAGAGCATTGGGTTTTTTCCCCAGCATTACCCCACTTGCAATCTTTCTCTATATCGTTGCAGTTGTTCAACACTTCCTCTTGGTCTGAAGAACGTGGCTGTTGTGCTCCTTTCCCCATTGCAAGCAGAGACGTGCCAGACCCAGGGGCTCACTCACATCCACTACCATCTACAGGGAGTGCGGCTCAAGCTGCGTGTTAACAAGGAAAAGGCTGAGCAAATCTGCAGCCAGCCATGCCTCCCACATTTGCAAGATCCCACCAAGCTGTCTGGAGTCTTTGGGTTTTTTTTCCTCTGCAACACTCCAAGACCTCGTGGGCAACACGTACCACGGGAAGCCATGGCATGGGAGTGCGTTTGTGCTGTGCTAAAAACACATCGGGGGAAAAGAAAGACAGAAAGAAGGACAATGTGAGAGAAGATGACATGAGAGGGGAGAAAAAGAGACGGGAGAAAAAGAGAGGGGAGAGAGAAAGATAAAAAAAGAGAGGAAAAAAGATAAAGAGAGAAAAAGGGGGAGAGGAGGAAAAAAGGGAGAGAAAAAAGTTAAAGGGTAGTTTAAATCTTAAAAGATATTAAAAGAAAAATATAAGTTATTAACTATTCACAGTTTGAAGGGAGTTTAAGCATTTACAAGGGGACACAAGTCTGTTAAGGAGTTGGGAGCCATCGCTGCAGGAATGGAGCAAACTGCCTGACGGGTTGAAGCAGAACTTGCAATTTGAACCCCTCCAGGAACCAACAGGAAGGAAGAAGCTGAATTTAAAAGAAAACTACTGCTGCCAGCAGTTGCTTACAGCAAAGTTGTTTTGCTCACCAAACCCCTTATCTCACTTCCTCCAGTGTCCGCCCTTGCACGGAGCAAAGGGTACACACTTGTTTTCCTAATCGTGAGCCAATGGGTGCAACGGCCGTTAATTCCCTCCCTCGGTCTTGTGTACTTCAGCATTACAAAACAAAGCAGTAAAAGCCTACCAAGAACCTGCCCCAGCAATTTGGGCTTGGTATAACAGTGACATTTTATTCTGGGAATAAGCTCTAAAACCACATAGGGACCGGGGTTGGTTGTCAGGAAAAAGTGCAAAGCCTCTCCCTTCCCTTGCACGGGGGATTTGCAGGAGGCAAATTCAGTGCTCAAAGATGTGCTCAGATCTAGTGTTTCAGAAGCAGTTTTAGGGTTAAATTTGGCAGCAGAGAAGAGAAAAAAGTCATAACAAGGGCAGGCTGGGAAGGGGTGATGCTTCCCCAACCCTGGAGGTACCCAAAACTCAATGGCACAAAGGCCAGACTTTGTCCTGTCTCTGAGCAGGGTTTGAGCAGGAAACTGCAGCCCAGGGCTGGGAGAGCTGTTACTGCTGAAGCATTGAGGTAATATTTGAGAAACGAAAGTAGTAACTTGAGATAAAGAAAAGCTTTCAGTTTCCCCCATTTCAAACTTCTGTTCTGCTTTTGGCGCTGCTTCATAATAATGATTGTAAAAATTAAGCAAAAATCCCCTTAAAAAAGACCCCATGGAAGCTCATGTTTTTCACACACTCCCCCCCCGCCCAAATTTAAGAGATCACACAGGGCAGCCTGAGCTCCTGCCCAGGTTTTACCCCTCCCAAGCCCACTGTGCTTTCCAGCCAGTTCACTCCAGCTCCCCCCAAATCACTATTAATTCCACTGAATTGAAACAAATCTAAGTCCTTTTTATTGTATAATTATTTACCTCACTTCACCATGATTTTAATTCCTTCCAGAGAAAGCAATCCTGTTAGCTAGAAGGGGCTGGAAAAAAAAAAAAAGCCAGCACTGAAAAGCAGTTACAAAGCAGCAAAACAGAGAGAAAAAGTATTAAAAAGCAGCAGCTGAAAAAACACATCCAGAAACTCAAAACAATCACAATAAAATAGGCAGGTAAGGCAGGGCACCCATGATGGCAAACGCTTCGATAAAACCAGCTGAAAAGTAGTCATTTGGGGGTTTGGTTTTTTAATTCCCTCCCTTCAATATGCCATTTTTAATTTAGCCAGCTGATTATTTCAGCCTCTCTAGGTTGCCCTCCCCATCCCAACCACAGCGTCACTCCTGCTCCACTGATTCAACCAGCCCCAATTTTTGCAGGCAAGCAGCTGCTTTCCCCAGCTCTTACCTCCTGCGAGAGCCGACGTCGGCTGAAAGTGACTTCCTCAAGCTGCTGCGTATCGTCACATTCGGGGAGGGATGGCCCGACGGCCACGCTCCCAACGCTTGGCTGCACCCCAGTAGCTCGGGTGCCTGCTTGGGCTTGTAGGCAAGGCAAAGGGGTGAGAGACCACCTCGAGAAACCAGTGGTTGCTTTAAGCTTTATGCTTCAGAGTTTCCAAGCAGGAAGAGCGTTTTTTGATGGGTTTTTTCCTATTATTTTTGCGGAAAAAACCCAGAGCAGTGGGGATTTTTTAAGAGAGCCCTGTAGGCAGGTGATGGCGAAGGCACCATGCTCTACCTGCTCCCCAAAGGTTTGCAGTCAATTCTCAACTGCTGTGGCAGCTTTTGGAGCTGGTTTGAAACAGTTTGTGTGCAAAGCAAAGGTCAGGCTATGCTAAATGTGGTTTTTGAATCATCTCGCTACGGCAGAGGAAAAACCAAGGGGCTGGGCTTACTGCTGCTGCTTTCTCCATCGAGGAGAAAAAGCAACAGGCTGGGAGAAAAGTCAGCCCAGAGGGATGAGAAAATGCTCCAAGGAGAAGGAGGTGCAAGAGAGGAGGTTAAACCCAGTGGGAAAAGCCTCTGGGGAGAAGGGCTGGGAGCACTGAAGGCAGTGAGAAAAAGCATGGGAAGACTCTCTGAGCTGCCCTGGGAAAACCCCCATGGCTGTTATCGCAGAAGCAAGAATTTGAGGTCTGGTGACATTATCTGGCCGCAGATGTGCAGCATCTGGTCGGCTGCCTGAAACAGCCTCTTTTACACTCCGCCCCCAAAGATTCTGTTTTTCAGGGACGATGAGCTCGATTGATGCTGACTGGGTCCTGCTTCACCCCACTGCCTGCCACGTGGAAATGATAATTTTCTCGTTTCTCACCAAACCGCAGGTTGCCTGCCCTGCCTGATGGGTGATAAGGGAAGGATGGGGCCAGGCTCTTCTCGGGCTGCACAGGGAAAGAGGGAGATGGGGCAAGCTGCAGCAAGGATGATTACCAGGAGATCAAGATAGATTTTCATTTTGATTGGGATGCATTTGGGTTTGAGTCCAACCCACGGTTTCTTGTTGTCACACCTCCACCCCCAGTTTCTGCTTTCAAACTCTCTTGCAAATGTGTGCTTGGAGGGATGCATCACTGCTCTGTGTGGTCCCCATCTTTCTTTGAGCACTGGAGACCTTTGGGGCTTGGGAGACTCTTTGCACCCTCTGCGATGGCCCCCCCCTTTTCCCCAGAGAAACTGCCCACCCTCTCCATTTGGAGAAAAAAAAATACAAATATTATAAATTAATAACTGCTGCTCTAGCCATCTGCAAAACCATCATCATTTGGGTGAGTTGGCTGTGGAGATAGTTGGGGGTGATTGGTGCAAACCCCCAGAGCATGCCAAGGGTGTGGGGGGGTGTTCCAGCCCCCTGACCGCAGACATCATATCCCCAGGGCAGGAGGAGGTGGCCACGCTCGTCGTCACCTATCCAAACGCCTGAGCCTGGGCTTCAACTTGCAAGCCAAGCACCCAGGAAGAGAAATGATGCCTCACAGACCACTATGCTTGCCACAACGGAAGAGATAAGTCATGAAGCAGGCGGCAAGACTGTGAGTCATAGGAACTGACAGCTTCTTTCGGTATTTGTGGAAATACCATCAGGACACGTAAGATCTAACTTGTCCCCGCTCCAGGCTGCTCTAATCACAAGCCCTAAGACTCAGAGCTGGGTCATGGGGATAAAAGGTTCAGTTATCCCCCACTGCTGCTCCTGGGAGGCCATCGCTTGGGTTATGGTGGTGATTTTCATGCCATCAAGCGTGGAAGCAATGGCAGAGGCAACACATGTGAAAAAAAGGGCACCAAACTGTGCATGGCCAGACCCAGGATGTCACTCAAAGTGACAGGCAGAGTTTTCCCCAAAGTCAGAAGAGGTTGCAAAAATAGCACGGTCACAGCTTCAGGCACAGAAGTCTCAGAGGGCAGGATGAGTGCTCCCAAATCATCATGGTTGCTGGCGCTTTCTTCTTTAGCATCCAGTGTTTTCCCATCTTGAGGTTCCTCCTGTTTCCCAGTGGTGGGTCTCCAAGCTTTTCTTGGCAAGGAAGAGCCTGAGACCTCAGCAGCCTCCCAAGGAAAGGCGTTGCAAGCTGCCCCCAGCACCCCAAGGTCCATGCCCACCACTCATCGGAGACTTGCACCTTGCAGACGGCTACACTGGTGCAGCTGGAAGAGTGGTGAGGGTTTCCTCCACCAGCTTCACCTAACCACACCGCCTCTGCACATAATAGCTTCCCTCCTTCTTCATGCACGCTCACTTAGCGCACCCTTGACACCAGCGATGGAGGATGATGGAGGTTACATCATCACGACCAAATTGAAGGTGAAGGACCCCACCCTGATGCCCAAGCCGATGGATCCAGGCACTGGGGATCTTCTCGGCCAGCATGGCCATGAGAAGAAACCACAGGCAGTAGCAATTTTTGCAATTCACTTTGTCTTTCCTTCCACTGGGCGAATTTCCCTCAGCATTGCTGCAGAGGTGAAAAAAGCCATGAGAAATTTCAACGAGGGGCTTGGGGGGCATTTTGTCCATCAGTTTCATGCTTCTGCCTCTGGGCACCTCCAGGTTCATCTCCCTAAATGATGGCCAGTCCGGCATTGCCTCTTGCCTACCCTGGAAACCAACACAAAGAAATGTAATTTCTTAGCAATCCTTACTCCTTTCTTTCTGCTCCTTTTTTTTGCCAATGCTCAGGACAGCACAACTCTTGTTATTGTATTTTTTTTTGTCTGCCCAGCTGGGGTTAGATTTAACCTTGCACCAGCCAAATAAGCACTATGCACCTGGCGATAGTCAGCACTGCACCCCTGATGCCTGCGACTGGTTCTTCCATTGCTCAGCACTGCTAATTTCTCCATAAAGCCTTCCAAAATGTTTTTTCCCCAGGCACATCCCGCCACTGATGTTATTACAAAGCAGCCATGCTGCTGCTGCTGCTGAGCCTCCTCCTGGTCTCAGCCGTAATTTTTCTGAGCATCCATGGTAAGTACCAGAGGGGGAAACTGCCACCGATCCTGGGGGGTCTGGTTTTCACACACAGCCTTCTGCTGCCCCATCATACCAAAGATTGGCTGGTTTGCCTCGCGGAGGGAACCAACCACATCTGGATTGGGCTGCATTTATCTGTCAGTGCTCATAACCGGACATGGGTGGACGGGGCTCCCTTGGACCAGCTGATGTGAGTGTTGCCCAAAGAGATGCTCAGATGCAGATGGAGCACCCCGGGGCGGGGGGCTTTGGGAGATGGGAGGAAGCATTTCTGTGGGAGCTGCTTCATCTCCTGTCTCTCCATCAGGTTCAAAGTCTCAGGTAACATGGACTCGGAGAGCTGTGGGGTGGTGAAAGCCAACCAGACCAACTCAGAGACCTGCCAGGCAGAATTCAAGTGGATCTGCGAGAGGGAAGCCATTGAGATGTAAAGTGACATGGGAAGCATGGAGGGGGGGCAGCACATGGAGAGACCTTCAGTTCAAGTCAAGCTAATGGAAAACCTGCATGGAAAAACCTTGAAAACCCTCAATCCCCTGCTCCTTGGTAGAAAAGAGGAGAAAAGAAACAACAGCTTGGATGGAGTTGAGTTTCCTAGGTGGCTTGATCAGTCACCCTTCTCTGCTAGTCCCCTCTCCCTTTAAAATTTTATCCCTGTTTCAAAATAAAATAAAAAGGAGCAGAAACCTGCAGAACTGGCTATAAAGCACCACAGGACCCCACCACCCCTGGAAAGCGCTGGGTGATGGGTGGTACCACTCATACCTAACCTTGCCAATTAAAAGCTTGCTCAGGCACCTTACAGCCTCATGGCTCAGCCCATTTGCTATGGCCAAAACATCAGCGGTGGATGAAAAAGCTCTGAAAGGATATCTGTCCCGGTTTCAGCTGGGATAGAGTTAACTGTCTTCCTAGTAGCTGGTACAGTGCTATGTTTTGAGTTCAGTATGTGAAGAATGTTGATAACACACTGATGTTTTCAGTTGTGGCTCAGTAGTGTTTAGACTAAAGTCAAGGATTTTTCAGCTTCTCCTGCCCAGCCAGCGAGAAAGCTGGAGGGGCACAAGAAGTTGGCACAGGACACAGCTGGGGCAGCTGACCCAAATTGGCCAACGGTGTATTCCATACCATGGGACGTCACATCTCATATAGGAACTGGGGAGTGGGGGGGGGGATTCGCCGCTCGGGGACTGGCTGGGTGTCGGTCGGCGGGTGGTGAGCAATTGCCCTGTGCATCATTTGTACATTCCAATCCTGTTATTATTGCTGTTGTCATTTTATTAGTGTTATCATTATCATTAATAGTTTCTTCTTTTCTGTTCTATTAAACCGTTCTTATCTCAACCCAGGAGTTTTACTTTTCCCGATTTTCTCCCCCATCCCACTGGGGGGGGTGGGGGGTGAGTGAGCAACCCCAGCCAGCACCTAAGCACCATGCAGCCGCTCACTCATTTCGCCCCCCCGACAGTGGGATGGGGGAGAGAATCAGGGGAAAAAAAAAAGTAAAACTCAGGATAAGAACAGTTTAATAGGACAGAAAGGAAGAAAATAATAGTAATAACAATAATAAAATGACAATAATAATAATAAAAGAATTGGAATATACAAAACAAGTGATGCACAATGCAATTGCTCACCACTCGCCAACCAATGCCCAGTATAGTCCCTGAGCGGCAATCCGCCCCCCAGGCCAACTCCCCCCAGTTTACATACTGGGCATGACTTCACATGTATGGAATATCCCTTTGGTCAATTTGGCTCAGCTGTTGTGGCTGTGTCCCCTCCCAACTCCTTGTGCCCCTCCAACCTTCTTGCTGGCTGGGCAGGAGAAGCTGAAAAATCCCTGTCTTGCTCTAAACATTACTCAGCAACAGCAGAACACATCAGTGTGTTATCAACATTCTTCTCAGACCGAACCCAAAACATAGCACTACACCACCTACTAGGAAGAAAATTAACTATCCCAGCCGAAACCGGGACAAAGGATAACTAGCCCTCCCCTGACCTTGTCTTATAATGCAATCTTTCCGTTTGTTTTGCAAAATTTTGTGCAATGGCTAAAACCTGTAATTATTGTCAACCAACCCTCTGCACCACTAAAAAAGAGGAAGAGCTGTAACCAGTTAGCAAATAGGAGAGTTGAAATATTTAACAGTAATTTCTAGCAAAATTCCTAGCAAACTTCCACCACCAATATCATATTGTATCCCAGCTGAAACCAGGATACCAACCCTCTGCAGCAGTAAAAAAGGAAGTTGTTTCTGTTTTCCAAAGATTTGTGCAATAGCTAAAACTAATATTATGGTTAACACACCCTCTGCACCAGTAAAAACGAGGAAGTGCCATAAGTTAGCCAATAGCGGAGTTGAAATATTTAACAGTAACTCATAGCAAACTTCCACCACCAATATCATATTCTTCCAGGGGATACAGGATGCTGAAAACCTCACTGTGCCACCACATTGGGTGGCAAAGAGCTTAATATCCAAGCAAAGGGCTATCTTTGGATTGCCTGTATTATGGATAAGCCTCAACAAAATAAGGCGATTTGATTATTTCTGTAACTGGAGCATTAAGAAGCAGTTGTTGTGTTTCAGGATAAAGCATCTATTGGTCTGACAATAAATTCTATTTCTTAGATACTTATACGGGGTGCATTCTTTCCCTTTTTCCTAATAAAAACAGCAAGAGCAGCAACTCCATCACTATCTTCCAGCCAAGTTAACAATGAGGTTGCCTCATCCCAGCCTGAGCAAAGGAGGAAGAGCATTTCTGGTTGCTTTTTTTCTTTTCCCTTGCTATTTCTTGCAAAAAATCTCACAGCTCGCTTGAAGAGTCACAAGCAATGCCAAAAAGTGGGAATTGGAAGTACCAAGCCCTTCCCAAAAGCACCCCCAAACTTGCACTCCTGCAGCCATACGGACATAAAACATGGGTGAAGGACAAAGCGATCTCACACTGGAGATGCCTTTCTGCTGTGCCCCAAATTTTGGGCTTTCTGGCAGTGGACAAGAATTTCTCGGTAGGGGCACAACTGGTAATTGTGACCAAAACCCATCCCGTGAGTGGATGCTGCAAAAAGCCACATCCTTTGCCACCTCGCAGAGCGGGAGGTGAGCAAGGTGCTGCTGGGGACGGAAACCAGCACGGGGCTTTGTGTTTGTTTGTTTAGTTTGTTTTCCCCCCTCCCCAGCTCAAAAAGGGCACGAGGAGGTTCAAAGACAATATTTAGGTCTTCCTCAAAAGCCAGCGAGGGGGATGAGCTGGCGACCTGCTGCTGCTCGGCACCAGGACCGTGCCACAATGAGGGGAGCCATCATCTTCTTGGCGTTCACGGGTGAGTGAAGGGATTTCAGAGACCAGGCTGGGGTGGCACCAAAGGTGGAGGAGGGAGAGCTTGGAAGGTTTTCACCATCTTCTCCTCAAAGAGCATCACTCTGGGCAGAGCATTTCTCCAGCCCTTTCTTCACCACCAGCCATGGAGACTCGTGCAACCCCTTCTCCATGAAAACCTTCTCCCAGTCATTAATTCCATCAATTCTTTTGTCCTCTTCACCAGAAAGGAGACTTTTCTCCTCTCCATCCCTTTGCTCTGCCAACCTCTTTGCTCCAGTGCAACGTCTGAGGTGGAGAGGATGCAAAAGCAGCCCCACACAGCCAATGTGAGCTTAAATATCTCAAAGAAACCTGAATTTCCTCTGATAAATGCATAGTGTCCAGCAAGGGTCATTTATTCAGTTCATCCTCAGAAAGGAGGCTCGTTTGGCACTGCCCAAAAGATCCCTTGGGACTCAGTGGAGGAGAAAGCAATTGGAGGGGACACCTGGAAAATGTAAATATTGCTCAGTCCCACCTTGTGCATCCAACGCCTCGCCCGTCGAAGTGAGCAGAGAGGCGTGAGCTGAACTTGGTGGGAAATATTCCCCCAGATTTTGGGCCCTAAATCCAGATTTTGGCAATAACTTAAAGGCATCCATGGGAATTTCTCACCCATGATCTCCTTTCTCATCCCTCCCCACTGCAGGTGCTGTCACCACCATCTCCATAGCCCCGCTGCAGAACCCGGTTTGGGTTTCCCCAGGGGAGAAAGCCATCTTACCTGTCTCCCTCCAGCTCCTCAACCCTACCTGGGACTTCTACCATATCAAGTGGAGCTTTCTGACGGGGGATCGCCCAGTTTTGATTTACACAATGGAAAGGTGCAACCAGACCCTCGCAGCATCTGGGCAACAGTGCCAACAGAGGATGGAGGTGGGCGATTTCTACAATTCAAGGGCAAATATCAGCTACAACACCTCGCTGGTGCTCCAGGACACCCGGCCAGATGACGCTGGGGTTTACCAGTTGACAGTGCAGGGTCTGGATGTGGCACACACCATGCAGGTCACTCTGATTTTGCAAGGTAATGATGGCTTTGGGGGGGTCCACCAAATCCCAAGAGGTGGAGAGGAGCAAGGAGCAAATGGCAGGTTCAGAAAGCCCAGGAAAGGGGTTTTCTAGGGAGCAAATACTTGCTGAGCCTGCCCAAAATGAAAAAAAAAGAAAAACAGCTAGTCCTATTAAAACAAAGACTCCACTGATTTACAGAGCCCTTATCTGCAACATGCTGTAGGATGGGATGAGATGGGACAATGCTTGGCGTGAAGCATCTGCAACGTGCTGTGAGACGGGGTGATACTCGGGTTGAAGCATCGCCCGATCCTTGCCCCATTCCTGCACCTGCATCCAGGTCTTTAAAAGCTCTTTGCAACTCCCTCCTCACAGAGAGCCTCTCCTTTCCACGCGCAGGTACCTTCTCCCCGTTATTCCTCTCCGGCAACCCAGCCCATGCCCACCTCAACCAGACAGCGCTGCTCTCCTTCTCCCTGCGGACCCCCTGCTCGGGCTGGGACTTCATCCACATCACCTGGGAGCTCATCAGCAGCCCCAAGAACCATCCCATCCTCACCTACACCCTGGATGGTTGCACAGGGAAAGCCTGGAACTGGTGGGAGCAGAGCTGCACCATCTCCCAGGAGGTGGACGGGTCGTACAGGCAGCGGGCAGGCGTCCGACCGAACGGCACCCTGGCCCTCAGGGATGTGAGGGATGAGGATGCAGGGACCTACCTGGTGACGGTGCGAGCCCCAGACGGGTTGGCTTGCGTGGGTGTCAACCTGTCCGTGAGCAGAGGTAACTGAGGGAAGGGGGAAAAAATGCACATTTAAATGCCTTTAGAAGTGGGGAAAGGATGGAGCGAACGGGAGAAGCTGGCACTAACAGGAGAGGAAAATGCAGGAATAGGGAAGAAAAGTGCTAAACTGTGGGATGAGAAGGAGCAAAAATAAAACAGCAGAAATGCCTGCTAGGAGGGAAAAAAAAAAAGAAGTAAATTTTGCCCTAGCTTGGTTTTAATGCCACTGCAGAACAGAAACCTGGAGCTTTGGCACAAGAAATTTGCCCTGGGGTTGTTTTTCAGAGGAAGCAAGAGAAAACAAGCCATTTAAGAACCCAAACGCATCGTGAACTGCAGCCAGGGAAAGCTGGGTATTTGGGGTTTGTGTTTTTCATAGTTTTTTTTTTTTTAAAGAAGTGTTGAGTGGCTACATCTCATCACGGACGTGCAGAAAGCACCAAACTGTTGACCCTTTATAGCAACAGGGAGTATTTTTGCAGCACTACAACCCACAAAAACAAAGTTAGAGATGAGAAGAGACAATAGCAAGGCAGACCCTGCCATAAAGTCCTGTTTCACTACGGAAATCCCCATCTTTTCACCCATTCTTTATACCTCTCCCCCGGTTTGCAGAAATGTTGGCAGTGGAGTGGCCGAGCATCCTCAGCATCATCCAAATTGCTGCTGCTGGCGTCGTGCTCTGCTTCCTGGCTCTCATCTTGGGAGAGGTGGGTGATAAAACCCCCAAACTGGGTCCAACTTCATTAGTTTTCCCCACAAAACCAAAACGCTTGGAGGCAATTAATTTACCCGCCTCAAGGTTTTATTTCCCCTCCAATCCCCAAAGGGGGAAAAGGGAGGGGAAACGTGCTGATCCAGCAAAATTAATTTGGGGATCAGCATATAGAAGAGGGAATACTGATCAGCATCCCCAGCATGCCTTCGAGGCTGCAGGGGTTTGCCCAGCGAAGACGGGGGATGCCATAAAACTGGGGCTGCAGGTGGGTTTGCAGCAGCGTGGCCGGTGCCCCCCATACCCCAGGTGAGGAGGGACACGGGGACACATCGGGGTGAGCAGAGACAGACCCATCGTCCCTCTCGTCTCCTCCCCAGCACATGTTTTGGCGTGGTGACAAGCTGGAAAAGACCCCGGGTGGCACCTGCCACCAGTCCCAACCTCCTCCTGGGGACAACTCTGGATGAAGAAGCCACCAAGGATGGAGGGAGACGTGCAGAGGGCACCGAAACCCCCGCGGCTTGTTGGTTTGCCCAGACCATCATCTGCAACGTTAAACACTGAGCAAGAACTACTCGTAATAGTTAAAAAAATACGGGTTTTGGAGCCGTTTCTCCCCAAATTATTACCTGGGTTCCCCATGCTCTCTGTCCGGACCCCCAGTGCTTTTATCTACCCATCGCTGTGGGGAGATGCTTCCTGTTCCCTTTTTTTGCTCCTTTTTTGCACTTGAAAAAGTCCAAAGCTTTGAGCCCAAGGTGTGGGAGAGCTCTTGAAACATACCACAGTCATTAATCTTATTAATTATCCATCAAACAGCAGGAGGCCCTGAAAGGGCATCACCCCAACTTCCCGGCAACCGGTTGCTCTCCAGCCAAGAAAATAATTGCAATAAAAGTAATCAGATTTCAGCACTCAGCCTCTAGTAGTCCTAAAAGCAGACATGGGATCAGAGGTTCCTTTTTTAAGGGGGAATTTGAGTGGTTTTTTCTCACCAGCTTGTGCTACAGAAAGGAGTCACCTAAATCCCATTGGATTTACCTGGCCCTTGGCATGTCACTTGGGTTGTGCCCCCACGTCAAGGTTGACTGCTCGAATGCAACAGCTTCTCCTGGAGACTTTGGGGTTAGAAAGGGGATTCTGGAGAAATCGTTGTCTTTCCGAGACTTATCAAAAGATGGTTTATCCCAGCTCTGCATTTACCTGTTTTGAGCAGTTTCCAGCAGCTGTCTACATCCCCAGCTTGGCTTCATTTCCTTTGGATTTGGGGTTTTATGCTGAAAGCAGAAAAATGTGGGCAGCTCCAGGGGGATGATGCATCCCTCCATAAGCAACTAAAGCAGGGGATCAACCAAGAGATCCAACTCTTAACAAGCCCGATCCCACCCTGAAAGCAAAATCCTGCTTAGGAAAGTATGTTACACCTTGTGCTTTGGTTTTTTGGGGGAACATCTCTGGTTTTTTTGCCACACCCTTTGCCAGAGGGGGTTTTTAATGCTGCATTTTGAGCATTCGCAGGAGCACAAATCCACGTGGATCTCCTGCAAATTTGCCTCTAGAAATACCAAACAGGCCAGTTGTGAATTTTGTAGCTGAATGCAACAGGTTTAGTGTTTCCCACATCACCAGCTCCATTTTTCTCACCTCTCTGCAGCGGGATGGGAGCAGTGCTAAGACCCAAAGTACTGCTAGAAAACACCCCCAAAATTAACCAGCGCTCTGCAGATTGCAAGCATATCATATCCTTTTGCTCTTCACTCTGCTTAAAAGTGGGTTGAAAAGAAAAAAACATATCTATATATCTATATATATATATATATATATTAGTCCATGCTAGCAACAGCACTAGTCCGGCACCGGGAGGAGGAGGCTGCTTTCCCCAGTAGAAGACGACCTTCCGGCACCTTCCTTTCTCACGCCAAGCTGCTCCACACCTTAAAAAAAGGTAGCTTTGCTTTCAGAAACAGTTCTTTGTGGGCTTCCACAGCAGGTGGAAGAGCAGAGTGAGGAGAGACAAGACAGCTGGGGCACAACAGCGAGGGTGGGTTTTTAGCTGTGACTCCAGACGCAAAAACCACCACCACTGCCAGTCTCTGAGCTTGCTTTTGCTCCGGGGGCGGAAAAAAAAAAACCATCCCTCTGTTACCCTGAACCTTAATGCTGCAAGGACAGGGACCGGCCATGGCATTGACCACTGTCTACGCCAAGCCAGATGTGCCACCGCGCTCAGCTCCTGGCGGCTGCAGGAAACTTCCCGGTAAGTGAATTTGCTCCGTGCCATTGCACAGTGGGTGCTGGGCTCCTCCTGACCTCATGGAATTTCTCCTCGGTGACAGAGGGGGTTTGGAGGAGCTGATATCCCCAATGCTACTGGACCCCTACCCTGCAGGAAAGCACAGGGAAGAAAGGATTTCCCATGGCTTTTCCATCTGTTTCCTGAGCTGATGGTGGCCAAAACCCAATGCTTTGCTCTCAAGCAGGTTTGCTACCTATCTCCAGCCTGGGGCAGAGCGATGGCACAAGCCGGTTTCTTTCCCATAGCCTGATTTGCTTGGAAAGGGAGGAAAAATACAGCCAAGCCCCAAGAACACCCCTATCCCTCCACACAGGTCTTCATGTGCTCATCTTTTTTTTTTTTTTTTTTTTTTTTTTTGCAGCTCAGCAAGGCTGAGCAGGAGCTGTGCAGCAACCGGCAACCTCTCTCCATCACTTCAGGCATCCCAAGGACTTTGCTTTGGGTCCTTCCCTTCCCCAAGGCACCTCGGGGAGGAGAGGAGCTGAGCTCCCAGCTCCAAGGCTTTGCAGGCGTGCTCGCTGTGGTTTCCCCAGTCAAGCAAGCAAGGCAGCTTGTGGGTTTTCTCAGCTCTGTTGCTCCCGCAGACATTTGCAAGATTTTCTCACTAAGCAGAGCGTCATGGAGGTACCTGCCCGCTGAAACAAAGGGTGTTAAAAACAGGGCAAAGACCACAGAAGAGCTGCTTCCTCCCTCACTCCCAGTATGGGTCCTTTTGCAGGTCCTTGGTGGTACTGGGTGCTGCTGGGAGCTGGATGGGTTGGGACCGCAGTCCTGGCAGGCATTGTGCTGTGGCTGCTGCAGCAACAGGGTGAGTAGCAGGGTCTGTCATCCAAAATGGTGAAAATCTCCCCAAATCTACCACATCCCAGCCCCATGCTGGGCTGGAGCAGATTTTGGCCTTATTTCTAGCAGGGAGCAGCTCCTGGGCAATTTCTGCCCCTGGTAGCGGCTATCCCCACTGGGCAGGAGGGGGAAAGCTGCCAGCATACCCCCAGTGGACACGCACAGGCTGATTTAAGTGTTTTTGGAGCCTGTTCTGATACAGGTCCCTTTCGCTACACTGATGGTGGTTGCAAAGACCCCAGGGTTCCGCCCCCCAGAGAGTCCTGTCCCCAGGCAGCACTTTGCTCCATCCCCAAGGGCTGCTTTGCACAGGGGTTGCACCCCAGCAGTTGCATCCTCTGGTCTCAAGGCAGCAGCACCAACCTGCAGGTCAAACCCATCCTCATTTCAGGTGGAAATGGCCCCATCCTGAGCCAGGGCTCATACTCCTGGGAAACTTGCCCGACCAATACCAGCCGATCGAACATCTCAGAGTGCGAATGCCCCCTGAGGTGCTTCAGGCTGCAGCTGAGACAACGGCTGTGCGAGCAAGGAAGCCGCCATGCAACAGGTACCATGGCTCAAGCATCACCCACAGCTTCAGGGCTGTGGGTGGAGACCCCATATCGTTAGGGATGCCGGAGGGTTGTTGTCCCCTTTCCACATGGAAGGGGGACAACAAGGCCAGGAACATTGGGAAAGCACTGCAAGACCCCCCCTCCCCCAGTCCTCCCAACTGCTGTCCCCATCCACATCACCCTCTCCCTGCACCACCCCATGCCCTCAACACCTTCCTCCGTTGCTCCTCGTGCTTTCCCCCCATACCAGGGGGGAGATTTTTCCAGCATGGGCACAGCCCACTTCTCCCAAAAAAGGCACCTGGAGGGGCTCAAACAACAGGAAAAGCCTCCAGTATCCCAGGGTGGGTTGCAAAAGCCCCTTGCCCCACGGCACCCACAGGGCCAGGGACTCACACTCATCCTCTGCCGCAGGCACCTCGGTTTGCCGGCTGTGTCCCGCAGGCTGGCAGCCATTTGCAGCCAAGTGCTACTGGGTTTCCACAAAAACCGGAGCCTGGGAGGTGGCGGCAGAAAACTGTTCATACCAGCAATCTCAGCTGGTCACGCTGAAGAGCGTGGAGGAGAAGGTAACTAACTGCGGGGGAAAGGCTCGAGCGTTGCCTCGCCTTTGGCTTTTTTAAGCTTTGCTTTCCACAAAAAGCCACACAGCCCCCAGACTGTGGCTGACCTTTCCTTCCTGGCTTGCAAAGCATCCAAGCCCACGCTGCCAGGCAGGATTTCAGGGGAAAACCCCAGAAACATGAGCTGAGAGGAGATGAAAGGAGAAGGGCAAAAACACGCTGCCCCATACATGAGCTTAGAGGCTCCTCTATCACCCCAAAAAACACTGTTCCCCTGCCCATCATCTCCAGATCACTCTTCCACCTCTTCCAAAGAACCCACCAACCTCTCCAGCCCCCCCAGTCTGTAGCTGGGATGTGCCAAGCTCATCCCAGACCAGACCCCCACAGGCAGGATCAGGTCTCCATCCCTTCTCTCCCAGACTTTTGTCAGGGACATGATCGGAAACACCTCCAGAGCCTGGCTGGGGCTGAGCATCAACCAGACGAGAGGGAAAAATTGGACATGGGAGGATGGATCCCCTTTACAGGAAGCTTTGTGAGTACTGTCCTGCTCTGGTTCATGAGCAGGTTGCAAGAACCATGTCCCAGGGGAAATATTTCCCAGCCTGATGCTCACCACAGACCTGGCTACTCCGAAAATCCCTCTGGAGCCAGCAGTAAGGCTCATGGGAGCAAATTAAACCAGAGCGACACAGGTCCGGTCTCTGCAGCCCAGCTGCGAAAGAAGGAAAAGAAAGGAAAAAGCAATTAAACCGTTATTGCTATTTTACACCCAAATGCAAAGTGCAAAGGCAGGGAAATTTCAACCCATTAAAAAGTGGGAAGATTGCCCCAGTGGTAATATTTTTCACACGGGGGTGCTGTGGTAGCCACAGTGACCCCAGCATATGGAAAAAAGGCAGATTCTGATAGAGCTAATATTTATTAGACAAGTAATACACACATGGGGGTGTGGGGAGGAGAAACAAGTTTTTGGGGGAGCACAGGCTCCCCCAACACAGCTGGAAAAACAAGAGGCTGGTACCTTCCCGTGCTCACAGCTGAGTGGACAACTGCTGACCTGGTTCAGGTTTTATGGGGAAAACACCCTCATGAGATAAATACTGTCATGGAAACAGCGTCCAAGTGCAGGACGCCAGGCTGATTGCCATCACGGTGCTTTTGAGGTTCCCAGTGCAGGGTCCCATGGAGACAGAAGCTTGTGCCGCGATTTGGAGGGATCAGCTGCACTCCCACATCTGCAGCGCTTTGTTCCAGTGGATTTGCCAGAAAGAGGCCACCGAGATTTAAGCCAGAGGAAACAACATGAGGAACAATGGGGACAGAATTGGTACTGGGCATCGTGCCGGGATGCCAAAACACATCCCAGAGCAGGACTCGGAAGCAATTCTGTTTCATTTCTCCACTTTGCATTTCTGCCCCCCACCTCCAGCTCCTCCAAATCCACCAAAGAACAAAGACACCAAAACCAGCAGGACTGAGTTCTGCAGCACAGCACCTGCCAGCAAAGCAGGGAGTTTTCCAAGCCTCTTCAATATTCCCAAGTCTGCAAAACTGGAAAGACTCTAGTGGTCAGACTAAAGTAAGGATCCTTTGGTCACGGCTCTGTGTCATTGTCATGAGGAGTTTCTGCTTTTGTAAGCTAAAATTAAAATAAATATGTAACGTTGTGACACTCACTACCATGTTGTGTAGGGTTAATAGCAGCTTGTGGTTGATCTTCTCTGCTGACAGGGAAAATTTCAGGTGAAATTCAGAGTGATTTCCGAATCTTTCTGAATCCCACTGGGGTGCTTTTGCGGGTGGCTGCAGACAGAGTATTTCATCTGGGAGCACCAGTCGCTGCTGATCCCGTCAGCATTGATATAGGCACATTGGCCCTTGCCCCGGACCTCAAACCTGCACCAAACAGCAGAAGGAAAACTCAAAGGGAAGCAAAGGGGTTGCTGTCAGCTGCAGGTCAGCGGCTGAGCATCTCCCATACAGGCTAACAGCGCTGCAAGGAGCACGGAGCACCCTTCCCCAGCAAACAACCTGCCCCATGCAGGACAAAAACTGTCCCCCTGCCCCCAAAGGAGGGAATATTTTCAGTTGCTTGGTCCCAAGGGGGGTTGATCTAGGGATGCCCTCATCAAATTTATTTTTTATCTCTCTCTCTCTCTCTGTGTCTTCTTGCATTCAATCCCTGACCCATCTCAGCCTAGGCCATGGTTTTGCATTCAATCCCTGACCCATCTCAGCCTAGGCCATGGTTATGTTCTCCAGAAGAAGAGGGGACGTACCAGTTGCTGAAGAGGGACCCGTTGGACCATTTCCAAGGTCCAGAGCCTTCCCTGTGGAGACCGATCCAGTAGTGCAAGGAACTCCCATAGCGCAAGAGGAAATGCTAGAGGGGGGGAAAAGCAAGCATTCGTGCAACACCCTCCAGGGGAATCCCAAATCTGCTTCCCAAAAGCCACCAACACACCACTGCCTCAGGGATTTCTCATTTACCAGCTCCTCCTGGGTGTCAATGGTGGCCAAATTGGCTCCAAGAGAAAGGCAAGAGATCTGACTCCTGTTCCAGTCCGTTTCATCCTCCACAAAGTAAAAGCACTTCTCCCTATACCCGATCCCAGTTCCCAGGCAGCTGGGAAGGACAGGAGAGGAACCGGATGGACAGGACGGGCATTTCTTAGCTGGAAATAAGCAGAACACGTCCTGGTGACTTACGCCACTGGGTTTTCTCCAGGGGAGGAGAGGACTTTGGTGGTGGGCACCTCCACCTCCAGACACTTACCCGCCAGCGCGATTATGGTGAGAAGCAACGCTGCTATGACCACGGTGACCCCGATGGGGACCTTTTTGTCTTTAATGCACTTGAGGCTAAAACCTGGGGACAAACTGCATGGAAGAGGCACAGCCGGCAAACCCACGGCACAAAGAGCACCCCAAGCTCCCTGCAGCTCTTGTATTCCCCCCACGGGTGCCTTCAACACCTTTACATACAGCCACAAAGCACGTGGGGGACCACAGTGGGGTGCAGGCTCAGGTCAGGGGGTGCATCCCAGTGCTTTCATCAGCCTCCAAGGATTTTTAGGGCTCCCTGACCTCACTGCATCCTCTCCATACCCCGTCAACCAGGAGAGATGGGCACCATCCCCAGGACCCACAGCTTGGGCTGCCCTGTGCCTCCTGCAGCTTGCAAACAGTTTTACCTTTCTTGCATCATCCTCACCCCAGCTATTTTAACTACATTTTAGCTGCCCACATCATGCTAAGCATGGCCACGACCTCTGAAACAACATCCTCAAAACAAGACTGGTGCTTACTGGTCCCTTCCTCTGCTCTCTGCTGCGATGGCATCATTACAGCAGCCGACTCTTCACCTGTGCAAAAGCAAGAAGCCTGTGCAAATGAAGTGAGTTACCACTAATGCTGCGAAGTTCTTCAGTAGGACAGGCCTGACCCTGGATACTTTTGTCCCAGGACAGTCAAAGCAGCATTCCCCCTTGTTGTGGTTTAATCCCAGCCAGTAAATAAGCACCACGCAGCTGCTCACTCATTTCCCCCCCCGACAGTGGGATGGGGGAGAGAATCGGGGAAATAAAAACTAAAACTCATGGGTTGAGATAAGAACCCTGAAATAGGACAGAAAGGAAGAAAATAGTTGTAATAATAACAATAATAAAATTACAATAATAATAGAAGGACTGGAATAAATAAGTGATGCACAGTGCAATTACTCACCACCCTCTGACCGATGTCCCGTTAGTTCCCAAGCAGCGATCCCCCCAGCCCAACTCCCCCCATTTTCTATATTGGCATGACATCACATTCTGTGGAATACCCCTTTGGTCAATTTGGCTCAGCTGTCCCAGCTGTGTCCCCTCCCAACTTCTTGTGCCTCTCCAGCCTTCCTGCTGGCTGGGCAGGAGAAGCTGAAAAATCCTTGATTTTATCTAAACATTACTTCGCAAAAGCAGAAAACATCAGTGTGTTATCAACATTCTTCTCATCGTGAACCCAAACATACCAGCTACTAGGAAGAAAATTAACTCTATCCCAGCCGAAGCTAGGACACCCCTTCTTCTGGTTTACATGCATGGCAGGAAGGGAAACAAGATTTTTGCCTTCAAAAAAACAGGATTTGCTTTGTTTTTCCAAGCCAGCCTTCATTTTATGGGCTTCTGCCAGCTCTGATTGCCCTGGAGAGGTGTCATCTCAATTACTGCCCCACTTCTTCAACTCCAAGGTGTTTTCAGCTCCAGTCTCCACTCCAGGACCCTCAGGTCAGCCCCCATGGTGCTGGGTGGCCCTTCAAACCCATCTGAGCCATGTCCCCCAGCCCAAAGCCAGAACCACCCCCTCCATCTCCCCACCATTTGCTCTTAAAGCCTCTAAGAAAGGGGATGGTGCTCATGTACCTGCATCCTGAAGAGCTTCCGCCATCCCTGGTGCCACCAAGGGGCGGCAGCACCCTCCGGGGACAAGCACGTCCCTCAACTCCACCAGCAACAAGGCGAGCAGGGTCAAGAACACCTTGAGACTGCAGCACGGCACCAGGGACCCACCAGGTCTTTCTCTGTCCCAGGGCTTTGCCAGGATGCTCCTCCTCTGGTCACTAAAATAAAAAGCCCAAAAGCTCACAGTCTCCCCAAAACCTCAGTGCTGCTCATCACAGCACTTTTTTCTAAACCTCTTTTTTTCCCTCACAGCACCTTTTCTCCTTGTGGTGGGTTGATCCTGGCTGGACTCCAGGTGCCCACCAAAGCCGTTCTATCACTCCCCCTCCTCAGCTGGACAGGGGAGAGAAAATATAACAAAGGGCTGGCGGGTCAAGATAAAGACAGGAGAGATCACTCAGCAGTTACCATCACAGGCAAAACAGACTCAGCTTGGGGAAAATTAACTCAATTTATTACAAATCAACCAGAGTAGGGTAATGAGAAATAAAACCAAATCTCAGAACCCCTTCCCTCCACCCCTCCCTTCTTCCCGGGCACAACTTCACTCCTGGATTCTCTACCAACCCCCCCAGCAGTGCAGGGGGATGGGGAATGGGGTTGACGGTCAGTTCATCACATGTTATTTCTGCCGCTTCATCATCCTCAGGCGCAGGACTCATCACACTCTTCCCCTGCTCCAGCGTGGTGTCCCTCCCACGGGAGACAGTCCTCCACGAACTTCTCCAACGTGGGTCCTTCCCACAGGCTGCAGTTCTTCACGAACTGCTCCAGCATGGCTCCTTTCCATGGCGTGCAGTCCTTCAGGAGCACGCTGCTCCAGCGTGGGTCCCCCACGGGGTCACAAGTCCTGCCAGAAAACCTGCTCCGTGGGCTCCTCTCTCCACAGATCCGCAGGTCCTGCCAGGAGCCTGCTCCAGCGTGGGGTTCCCACGGGGTCACAGCCTCCTTCGGGAACCCACCTGCTCTGGTGTGGGGTCCTCCCCAGGCTGCAGGTGGATATCTGCTCCACCATGGACCTCCATGGGCTGCAGGGGGACAGCCTGCCTCACCAGGGTCTTCATCACCACAGGCTGCAGGCGAATCTCTGCTCCGGTGCCTGGAGCATCTCCTCCCCATCCTTCTTCACTGACCTGGGGTTCTGCAGGGTTGTTTCTCTTACATGTTCTCACTCTCTCTCCGGCTGCCATTTCTGTCTGTCCCAGCAACATTTTTCCTTCTTAAAAATGTTATCACAGAGGCGCTACCACTATTGCTGATTGGCTCCTCCTTGGCTGGCAGCAGGTCCGTCTTAGAGCCGGCTGGCATTGGCTCTGTCGGACACAGGGGAAGCTTCCAGCAGCTTCTTGCAGAAGCCACCCCTGTAACCGCCCCCCCACCCCCCCCGCTACCAAAATCTTGCCATGCAAAGCCAATACACTCCTTTTTCCACATCCCAGCCTGCATTCACTCTGAGTTATTGCTTTTCAAAACCTCCCACGACAGCATATTTTCCTACTTTGTTCTTACAAACTGGTTTTCTAATTTCTTTTGGGTTTTGACCTTTCCATGGATGCCACCTTTTCTCAAAGCCCATGGCAACACATGAACAGATTCAGGTCTGACTCGGAGAAGCAAAAGCGGTCCTGCAGGAGCTCTTTGTAGAACATTCACATTTACAAGAAAAACCTCAGAAAAAACAGACCAAGAACCCATTAATGCAAACCAGAAAAACCTGCAGATGCTGTTGCCAACAAGCCCTTGAAGTCACCAAGAGCTGCAGCTCCTGTAACAAAGAACTTCTATGTTTAGTAAAACTACATATACAACCCTGACATCAGATGCACAGCTGGTGTTCCTGTTTAATATCAGCACTGTAAATACAAATTACATTACCGGTACCTACACTTTGAACCTTCCAATTTGCAGCAATTTTCCAGGGAAGAACAACCTTTGTGTGTTTGCAAAAGTAAGATTCAAAAGGAAATCTTTTTTCTCCCCAAACACTTGATTTTGAATAGGGTTTAACTGATGGAGCATTTTGCTGCTGTCCCCAACAGGCAAAACCAAATTACTCCTGCCCTAGGCTGCAGCTTGGTGCATTCTGGAGTAAAACAGCAGGTGATGGAGGAAGAGGAAGCAAAAAGACACCAAATGGGGAACAACAGAGAAACTTGATCATCAGAAGATACTCCCAAATACACTGGGCTTGTGGGAAATAAAGGATTTTTGTGTCCCAAAAAGCATGTCAAAAATATTACAGGCGAACATTGTTCTAGTTCATGGCCATGGTAGGGGGAAACATTGCTGCCCGGAGAAGTAATGCCTTTGCAAGCAGCACGTGCTTGAAATAAATTAAAGGCGCTTTTGTCTAGCACCCAAGGAGCGAGGAATTCATGCAGCAAACAGGACTGAATCCCTCATGCCCTGACAAGACCCAAATACTGCTGCAAAAAAGAAAAAAACCCCACCTTTTATTGGCAGGGGGACCCTAGGCAACAGGGGACACAGCGAGGTGCCACTGCAAGGAGACACCCTGGGGTCACCAGGACCCCAACGTGGAACCCACAGCCTGGGTTGAGCTGGAGTGGGAGTCCCAGGGGAGAAGGGAGCAGAGTGCCGAAGGGGAAGATGCTAGAGGGTGTTAAAAAAAAACCAAACTTGCCCCCAAACGAAGGTAGGGGGCTCCCTTCTGTGGGGCTTTGTGAGGCAGCCCCAGCGCTCGTCTCTGCAGGCTCCCAACTCACCCTCTGCGTGCTTGAAGGAAAATGGGCTTTTCTACACCTGCTTCCTAAGTCCACACTCGAGGGGAAGCTGCTGCTGAACTTGGGGTTTCCAGCTTCCAGGAGGTGCTGGGAGAGGACAGGTAAGTTCCTGCTAAACAACCAACTTCCACTGCACATTTTTTTCTCCGTGGCAGAAGAAAATCTGCAGATTTCCCCCCTCCTCACGCCCACAGCCTCCATCCAGGTGAGGGATTTAAACACATGCAGGGATACTCTCTGCTCCTGAACCCCAAATTTATCGCCTACCTGTAGTACTGGAAACAGAGGCGTCTAATATCCGATACCAAGCAGCTGCTGAAACCCACCCTTTCCATGGTAAATCACTCCTTCTTCTGACTAGTACTGTTGCCTTAGGAACCACCTTATCAGAGTTGCTGTATTATTTTTTTTTTGAGTTAATCTTACTCCCTCCTCCACCCACCAAAGCCAGATGGGGACATGGGGCAGTGGCTGCATCCCAAACCCCAGCCAGGCTCTGCCAGGACTTGCAGAATCAGAGCAAAGCTGCAACCCACTGGTGCTTCCAAGACACCCCCAGGCTGGATGTTTTTGAGGCACAGCATCAACAGTGGTTTCTCTGCTCTGTTTTCACAGCTAGTGTGATCATTAGAGAACTGCAAAAGCTCACTCAGCTTTTGCATGATGTAATGGACCACACCAAGGGATGGGACCAGATAAAAACACAAGCTTGTGCAGCAGTAACAAATTATTTCAGCAACCTAATGGACAGTTTCCCTGGTCAGGAATTCCCCTCTCTCTTGGATTTGGTACAACAATCTCTAGGCTAAACTTGCTTCACCCAGGTCCAGCCCAAACCTCCCACCACGCAACGCTCTCCTACCCCCTTTCCTTGGGGCTTTTACCCCACATAACTCACTGCCTGGTCCAAGGGAAAGGCAGTGGGTGCAAGCGTCTGGGAGCCCACCAATTTCAGCTCTCCCGGCTCCGTTACCGACTGGCTCAAGGCTTTTCAGCCCACGCTGAGACGCGGCATTGCCCTGGCAGTGGGTGGAGGCAGGTTGGCATCCTCGGATTGCCCCGCACAGGGGGTCCTCGGGATGGGGATGGGCTGAGAATCTCTTGAGAGCTCCCTGTGTCTTGTCTCCTACAGAGAAATACAGAGGGCACATAAAGCTTTCTATACACTCTCCAGCCAAAAAAATAAAGAAATAAACACTCGGCAAGGGCAGATCAGCAGGTGAGCCTTCACAGTTGCCTCAGAAGAGTCACACATGAAAATAAAAACCAGAGCAAACAGTCCACCCCCAGCACCATCAACACAAACCAGCTCAAAGGCAACTTAATTATTGCAGTATTTACCACTGCTGACCTTCCTCTAACCCCTCCAGCACCCATAAGGGTGCCAGGGAGGTGGGAGCTGCTCCAGCCCTTGTACCTCTGTGTCCCCCAACCTGGGTGGCAAAAGTGGGGATGGAGGCAGAGACACATCTCCCCCTTTCCCTCTCTCCCAGCTTTTTATACCATCCTTAAATGAGTCCCATCCACTCACATTCCTTTTTGGATTAAACCAGCTGCTTCAGTAAATTCCATCAAGAAAAACAAAAACCCAGGGGAGGGTGGGTGACAGGGATGGCATCAGGTCAAAAACTCCCAAGTGCATCTGCTGACACTGCCCACCGTCAGCATCTTCACCTGCCAGAGTGACATGGCTGGTTTAGAGCTGACTGTTGCTATTTAACCCCAGGCGGTAAATAAGCACCGCACAGCTGCTCACTCATTCCTGCCCCCCAACACGCAGTGGGATGGAGGAGAGAATCAGGGAAAAAAAAGTAAAACTCGTGGGTTGAGATCAGAACAGTTTAAGAGATCAGAAAGAAGAAACTCATTATAATGACAACACTAATAAAATGACAATAGTAATAATAACAGGATTGGAACATACAAGTGATGCGCAATGCAACTGCTCAACACCCACCGATCAGCGCCCAGTTACTCCCCGAGCGGCGATCCCCCTGCTCCCCGCTCCCCCCAGCTTCTATACTGGGCATGAGGTGCCGCTCCTGGGAAGCCGACGGACGGACGAGGCGAGAAAACAGCCGCCCCGGCCCCGCAGGACCCCCTCGGCCCCGCAGCGAGGGACCGACCCCGGGCAGAGCCGACCCCGGCCCCCACCTGCGCTACGGCCGGTCCCCAGCTCCGCCCCAGGAAGGCTCCGGCCGCTGCCGCCGCCATCGCACGCCCCGGATCGCTCTGAGGAGAGTCGCGATGCGGCCCGCCCTCCGCCGTCACCAATCAGCGCGCAACGTCCAGGAGTGGCGGGGCAGCCAGCCAATCGCAGAGAGCACCGTGTCGCCCCTTTCGTAAACCCCTCCCTGTGTCCCACTCGTCGCGG